AATAAGCCGTGTTGTGCAATATTGTGCATTGTGCAAATTAGAATTGATCATTCTTACTTTTTGAAATAGGTTTTCAAGCCTTTTTTCATTTAAACGCTCTTCAAATTGTTATGCTTTTAATGAAATGACTTTACGATCAAGAACTACTTGCAAAAAATAATTTTTCTTATGTTTTTCTATATTTAGTACCATTCTATACAGCGCACAGTAAACCTTTTGCTCCTTATGCGAATAAATCGGCGATTTGCATAAAAGTGTTGTAGAATTCAGATGACAATCAATTACAACTTGGCTGTGTCGACGTCGAAACCGTGGACTCTGTTCAAACTTCTGCTGAAATGGCGCGGCAGCATTTGGAAAGCAGTGCTTTTAGAGCTTGTCGTATGGCTGATGTTCTATGGAATTCTAAGCATCATCTATCGGACAGCTCTATCTTACGACCAACAAAAGTACTAATCAGTAATACTCCCTCTATTTAGCGAGCTGCTCTAATAATTCATTTCAGGACTTTTGAAAGGGTGGTGCTATATTGCGATGCAAGACTAAGCTATATTCCCCTCAATTTCATGTTAGGTTTCTTCGTTACCGCCGTCGTGAACAGATGGACGTATCTCTATCAAATTATTGGATTTATTGACAAGTAAGTTTGAATTTCTCCACTATGAGAAAAGGTCCCTGAGTTTACGTCCAAAACTAGAATACTAGGACTTTTTACATTTTTCTTGTAAATTAGCAATAGCAAACATTTGGTATTACATAGAACTTTGATGTTGCACTTTTTCTTCATTGTGTAAGGATTGGCTCCTGCTTGATACCGTAAGTAAACATTCTTTGAGCACTTACTGAGCAAAGATCTGCAGACATGTTTTTTCCAAAACCTTTCTTGAAGCATCTTTCTTTATTTTCCAATAAGTTAGTCGAACTTTTTCACACTTTGTCTGCCATAATTAAATTTCATATTCATTTATTTCCTTATGTAAACTATAGTTTAAAAGCTTTATGTGAATTTCAAACTACACTTTACAATTTATACCCCACTTCCCTTTTGGCTGGAGAAAAACGCAATTGACGAGTTCTCAGTGTAAAATTCACAGTTTCAAGTTCACAATTTGTTAAATAAGCAGCAAAGTAACGTATTATTAGAATGTTTGAAACTTTAACAGTTGATTCTAAAACTTGAAAGGTCAAAAGTTCGACAATCATATTACAAAACGACACTTAGCTGATCGGTATCGATAAGTAGTGATATGACATGTGCGGTCATTAAAGGATGGAAATATAAATTATACAAGATCTTTGGCTTTTTCTGATAAAGAAAAAGCTGAAAATGCCGGATTGATTGGAACTTGTAATGGGAAAGAGTCAACCTAGAGCATTCTCAAGAGTCCAATTTTTATAATAATCGTTCTGTTTACTTTCTATGCAATTACTATTACTGTCAATACCACTTTCTCAAAAAGTTCTCTTCTTCATACTCAATTTTTATAATCATTCGTTTACTTCGACTTTTTAAATGACATCCCTGCAGCATTGTTCCTGCAATATTCTTATCCTTATATTTCATCTTCTTTGAGCGTTGAGCCGTAAGCCAAGATTGGTGTAATGTTTTTTTTTTATGAGCACTCATCGCAGGCAACGACATAAAAACAATGGATTCGAAATCTCGGTTTCAATTCTATCGCGAGAAACTGAGGTGGCGGCGCACAAGACCCTAGAAGCATGTTGGATTTCCGCAAGGAATCTAAAAATGAATAGGAAAGAGGAATGCATCGCCGTAACAAAAGAACTCGCGCCGCTCCCGAACTTATGCGGGCTTTGACCTGCACCCTCGCATATAAATCTCTCCAGGGCATAAACTCATAAGTCACTTACTTTGTGCCTACGGTGATTGTGGTTGATTTCCTCAACGTCATAAGGTCTTTCATAGGCTTTCAAGTCAACACTTCTTCAACTTTATGAGTTTTTCCTGCAAGCGATGACATCCTATTTGTTCCTCACCTTCCTGGCTCTGACGAAGGCAACAAGCCGAAACCTAAGCCTAGCAAAATCAAACCAATCTTGGCTTACGGCTCAACGCTCAAAGAAGAATATAACGATGCTAAGATTCATCGAAAGTCGAACATGGAGTATTATGGAACGTGTCCCTTCTAATTGAACCAAATTTGTAATTTTATAGCATTGGATTGATGACTGCTGAGTATGTGAGAGGCAGAACGGAGCAAGCTCGAATGTACCGAAGAAATATTGTACGATACTGTGAATTGGCACAGGTTCTAGTTTTTAGAGATGTTAGCATGAGGACCAGAAGGCGTTTTCCCACGC